TGTTTCTGAATAGGTTCTATGGAATAGTTTCAGTAATTTTCAAATAGCCTATTTTATCTTCCCTAGCCCACCTAGGATTTGAAATATATATATACATATTTAAATTTTTATAATACGGGCATTTTCACCGGAATGAAAGGAAGGAAGGAAGGAAGAAAGGGAGGGAGGGAGGGAGGTATAAAAACCTGCCTACCTTTCTATCTATCTGTCTGATGAATAGAGAAAAGGTTAAAGTTAGAAATAAAGAAATGCCCAACCACATACTTTGTCTTGGGATGGATGTGGTTTATGGAGGATGCTACAGGAGATGCCTGCAGGTTCATTTGCTTGGTACCCTGTCTATTCCATCCAAAACTGAGTCAAAGGAATAAGGTCGAAACTTGAGATGTCATCATAATTAAAAAAAAAAAATGTAATGCCCACCACCGTAGCTCCTATCAATGGCTAGACTCTTGTTTTATTTTTATCTACCTGGCCCAGCTGAACTATTCCAGACCAGACCAGATTTTCATGCACATTATTTCATAACAGATTTTCAAATATGCTGAAAATTCAAAATAATTATACAGTGGATACCCATATACCCATCACCTAGATTCTTCAATTGTTATATTTTTCTCCATTTATGCTATGGACTGAATGTATGTATCCTCCCAAAATTCATATGTTGAAGCCCTAATCCCCGATGTGATGCTATTTGAATGTGGGATCTTTGGGAGATAATTAGGTCATGAGGGCTCCACCCTAATGAATGGGATTAGTGCCCTTATAAGAACAGACATGAGAAAGATGTTTTCTGTCTCCGCCATGTGAAGATACAGCAAGAAGATGTCTGTCTACAAACCAGGAAGAGGGTTCTCATCAGGAACCAAATCACCTGATACCTTGATCTTGAACTTCCCAGCCTCCAGAACTGTGAGAAGTAAATTTCTGTTGTCTAAGCCATCCAACCTATGGTATTTCTGTTATGGTAGCCTGAGCTAACAGCATTTGCTTTTTCACATATCTATGCATCTATCTATCCATCAATCCATCACAGCTGTAGCCATCATTGTTCTTTACCCCTAAACGTTTCAGCATGTGTTTCATTAACTAGAGTTCAATAATTTACGGCTCTTTTCTATTATAAGGTAAAATTTACATGCAGTGAAATGCACAAAGCCTAGTACAATTCAGTAAGTTTTAACAAATGCAAACATCCATTTAACCCACACCCCTATCAAAATGTAGAATATGTCCATCACCCCAGAATATTCCCTCATGTTCATGCCCAGTCCATCTTGATGCCAATACCAATCCTGAAGCAACCACTCCTCTTCTGCTTTTCTTCACTATATGTAAATAAGTTTTGCCTGTTTTAGAACCTCATATAAATGGAATCATACAGTAGGTACTCAGTGTGATTTTGAGATTCCTCCATGTTGTTGAATGCCTCAGTTAATTTCGTTCCTTTTATATTGCTGAATAGTATTCCACTATGGAAATATATCTTAATTTGTTTATTCATTCATGAGGACATAAGGGCTCTTTGCAATTTTTCCATACTATGAGTAAAGCTGCTACAAACATTCTTGTTCCTGTTTTTTTTTTTAAACTTATGGGTAAATGCCTAAGAATGGAACTGCTGGATTTTCAGTGCATGTTTACCTATATAAGAAACTACCAAGCCTCTTCACAAAGCTGTTATTCCATTTTACACAATCACTAAGAATGTATTCTCCACAGCCTCACCAATACTTGAGGGAATCTGTCTTTTAAGTTTTAACCATTCTGGGGTGGGGGGCGGGGTGGGGGCGGGGCAAGGTGTGGTAGAGACTCATCTCTAGGAATGTTCCCACCAGCTCCTGCCCATTGGAGCAAAACCTGCCTTTCACCGAGCCTTCTCCCCCAAGGATTTGTCTCAAAAATCTTGGGAGGGGAGCTTACATCTCATTGGTTTATTTCTTCTAAGACCCTAAAAGAGAAGAGGAACTCCATCTATTATTTGTCCACCTCTCCTCTATCTTGCTTAGAAAGAAAAGTTTAAAATACCAGAATAGTCATCTAGCTGGATCAAGTTGGCAAGTTCACAGTTATCTTTTGGTTCATGATATATTTTGATGCAAAAGATTCTCTCTTCTAAATCCCAGCCTTTGTCTCTTTCCATCAAGATTTAGCACCTTCAATATTCTAGAGAGGAGAAGTCCCCACTCCACAGGCTCAACCTCTTTTCCTTTGGGCTTCCCTAAGAACCATTCTTCACATTATCATAGCCAGCCTGCAAGGCAGGATTGATGTCCCCTTTCTGCAGAGGTCACCGCCTCTGAGATGAGGGTCTCAAGCACAGGATTTGTGACCCTCACACACGTTTCTACCGGTGAAACTTTCCCCTGGCAGGCAGCTCCCTTGGGGTGCACTCTGACACAGGGCTCTGAGGCTAAGCCTGCCCTCCTTCCACCTTCAACAGGGAGATGAGTGCACTTTGCCGCCTCCCTCCTCCACTCCCCGCTCCAGGCCTATTCATCTTCCAGCTTGCATCCTCTCCCCTTCACACCCTCTTTCTTCCAACAATGCTCAGTTACGTCATAAAACTATTGTTCCCTCATCCTCTCTCTCTCTTATTCTGTTCCATATGGGAACTAAAATTGTATCCTAAGCTTGCCTGATGACTGCCAAAGTCCTGTTAGTGGTGTAAGGAAGTGAGACATAATGAAGGACCAATGTCGTCAACATCTCAAGCCCTTGAAAGTACCAAGAGGTCCCTTTCAGAATCTCCACAAAAGAACCTTCTACTTTCTCAACCCCTCCTAATTAAACTGGCTTTTCCTCAAGTACCAGCATTCTATGTAAACAAAAAACTTTTGTCTTCACTATTGGGTTTCTGCTTTAATTAATAGCATCACAGCAACACTGTCTTCTATTACTTTGGTCACAAAGATACAGCATGTCAGTTACATTTGTCAGTTAAACTGTAGCACTATTCTATGAAAAATCATGTAAATGCCAAACTGACTTAAACTTCTGGAAATCAGTTTCAAAATGAGGACTTGCCTTTTTTCCTACTCAGTTTTAAATATTTGTTATAAGAGTTTCCTCTATGGCATATTTTCTTTTATATAGAAATGCATGAAGTTTCACGAGCACCATTCTCAACATCACAGCTTTATATGTAGTATCCCTACCTAGAAAGTATATATTATTATGATCCCATTTTACAGATGAGGAAACTGAGAGTCGAAAAAGTTTAGTAGCTCACACCTAGTAAGTGACAAAGACCTTAGATTGGCACACTCCAGTTGATGCTTTCTTAGCCACCATGCTGTCCTTCTCCCCTGTATTGCCTGGGATGACCCAGCATGCAAATTAAAGCTTCCCAGCATGTACTGGAATAGGCCATGATTGTGTGATCCACCTCCGCATCATTCTCTGCAGCTGCACCATGTTCTTCCCTGAAAAATTTTCAGATCTCACCAAATCTCAGGAAGACAGGGAAAGAGATCAGAAAAGGCTCTGCAGGGAAAGCAGTAAATCCAGAGCTTTTTTTTTTTGGAAAAAAAAAAAAAAAATGCTGTATCTGGAAAAAAGAGTCTAGCCATGCAATTAATAATCAACACCTATTATGGATTTTAAATAGCTCTTACCTGGTTCTGAGAGTCGATACAGAATATGGCCTATGCCTCTGGTCTCTTCTGTTCTCCAGAGTGCTGGGCTTTCCTTACTAACTTGCTCTAATGCCTTTAACACAGACTGAGTAACAAGATACTATTGAACAGAGACATTGTGGGCGGCAGCACAGTTAAAGACTAAAAGGAGTGAGAGCCCAGATTTGGTTGTAGGAGCTGACCTTTTTCTACCAGCTCAGCTGGCTCTTCATGGGATGCTGACATGTGAGGCCGGAGTCCATTGCCTCTTGCAGCCTATCAAGGCTGACTTCGTCCTTATTTCAGCAAGTTTTGGCTGCCTGGGGTGGACACCCTCACTTATGCTCCACTCTACCCACTTCTATTTTACCTTCTCGGACTCAAAAGGCTGGAATTTCAACAGCATTTTCCAGACTCTCTTGCAGCTAGAATTCTAGATATAAATTAGATTCCTCAAATTAGATATGGTTGCATGAGAGCCAGAAGGCAGAAGTGAGGCAGAAACCATCTTCCCACCCTTTCTTAAGCTGTTTTTGCTGATAAGCAAGATCATTAAAGATGAGCTGATTTTTTTAGCAGCATTATTCCAAGGTGCAATCTCCAGCTTCTTGGGTATTGAGAGGCAATTTGGCAGCAGCAGCCACAGCATCTTTATTCTGGCTTCCTGAGCCCTGGACGGCAGCTGTGCGAGTATGTCTTGAGCTGCTCTTTCCAGGTGTGATCTCAGAAGCTGCCCTGGTGAGTCAGGCCTGGATTGCCCCACATCTTCCTGTTCCACCTCCTCCACCATCAACCACATAACCACTCACATTTCTTGAACGCTCACTATGTGTCAGGCACTGAATGTTCTACATAAATCATTTTTTTTAAACCCAAAACCACCCATGAGAAAGGTACTATTAATATTCCTTTGTTCCAGATGAGTCTGCTGAGATTCAGAAAAGAGAGGTAAATTGTATAGGATCAGAGCAAAGCTAGCAGGTGAATGAGTAGAGCTGGAATTAGATCCCAAAACTGCCTGGCTCCAAAGACTGAGCTCTGTCTCTTTAAACGTATTTGAGGACCTGGGACCTATTAGCAGATTTGAATTGTTCATATATGTTATGTTGCTGAAAAGACATCATTCTTTTTCCCCTTTAACGATCTACACGTAGAAGCCAGCCTATTTTGTATCAAGATGCATCCAGATATCGAAGGAGGCTTCAATCTAATTAAACAGAAAGGCATTTGAAAAATCCAGAGGTATCACTTGGTAAAAACGTGTCTAAGTCACACCAAGATCATTTTTATTGTAAAAGTTAGAGAATTGAGATGAAGGCAGACACAGCCTTCTTCCTGTCTCTGGGAAGACCAGAGCTGGGGGTACAGGCATGAACTTACCAGGCACTCTGTTAACCGCGAGGTTTCGGAAATGGCTGCCTTTGATCATCTCCACGGATAATCGCCCCGTTGTGGCATTGTATGATAGCCCCACCAGCAGCTCTGGCGCCCCTCCATGTGACAGCGACTGCGTGGATGAAGCACTGTCACTGTGAGAAACTGCAGATGGGCTGAGCGGAGACTCTCCACTCTGGAGGAGAAGAACAACAAAGGATCCATTGGCCCCACTGCGCTCCTCTCCCTTACAGAAAGCCGATATTATGTTTGGTGAAATTGTGGCCCAGTCTCCACTGCTGCCAAAGATTACTAATGGCGCACTTGGTGTGAATGATAATAGGGCCTGGGGAACGCAGTTTTGGATGGGATCCCCTGCATTATTAGCAGACATATTTGTTTCAAGAACTGTCTCCATTCACTCTTTCCTCTCTAAAGACAAAACGGACGAAGATGTTATTACTAGTGTAAATCAAACCCTGGAAGATACATGGAGAGCTAACAGGACACTTAATACAGACCTAAATTTCAATGAGTCTATATTAGACCCATATGGAACCCGTCCACTCCAGGCATGAGCTCTGCTTCTGTTCTCTGCAGCCTCTTGAGGAATGTAGCAATACAGGAGGCATTTTGTCTTCACCAGAAAAGAAATGATCACTGGCCGTCTACCAACCCATAGGACATTTGGCCCCTGGTTCTGCTTTTTCGGGTTGTCAGGAATATGGCAGATGCTACATTTTTTCTTCCTAAGGAGATGAATTATATTGAACGTGAACACTTTTACAACTGTTTAGTGAGGAAGCTGGCACATGGACAGTGCATCTTAGAGACCTTGCAGGTACCAGGGGACTCCACACTTTGTGTCATGTATTCATGCATGTCCTTCTCTAAAGCACCCACCTCTATGCACCAGACACACTGGGAGGAGGAAAGCAAAGTAGATCAGGACGTTGACTCTCACTCAAGGAGCATGAGTGGGAGTGGAGCCTGAGGGGCAGGCAAGCCAGCCTCCCGGTCCCACAACTGCTCCAACCTTTCTTCTCAACATCTGCAATCATTTCCTAAAACTTCTTATCAGGAACCCCAATAAATACATGCATTGAAAGAAATTAAATATTCTTCACAACTTAGGAAACTACCCTGTTTACCAAGCCATGGACATCCCTGTAGAGCCCATGGAGGCTTTCATGGAACACAATTTGTAAACTACAGGGCTAGGTGGTTTTGATAGATGCCTTATAGCCCCTGCTGTCTGGATGATGATAACCCAACAATGAAATATTTGCCTAGTTTGGGGTGAGGGCCACCCCCTCCCCTGGGCTTGTGCAGAAGTGTCCACTGTGGCACCTGTCACTGCACAGCTTGCCTCTCGCATCAAATTCTCAACCTTATAAATCCCCCAGTCCACAGGGCATGGCCCAGTGTGTAGCTTATAATCATGCTCAACAAATAACTGGTGAATGGGGGAATTTTTACCTTCAAGGTTCTTTCACACTGGCTCATTTCCCCCACTCAACTCTGTGCCTCCAGCACAGGGCCCAGGGCCGGCACAGAGAAACAGGGGTGTAATAATACCTATCCTTATGCTTTATGGTGCAGGATTCCTCTGACCTCCTGTGGCTTCTGTCTCCCAGGATTTCAGAAACACTCTATTCAGAGCTTAAGAAAAAAGAGGGATTTGAACAGAGATGAGACATGATCTGGCTTATGTTTTAAAAGGCTCTTTCTGGCCCCAGTGTTGGGAATAGTCTATAGAGGGCAACGACGGAAGCAGGGAGACGACTAGGAGGCCATTTCAGTAATGCAGCCGAAGTCAAGCTCTGCTTAGATTTTCAAGATAGAGCCAGTAGGATTTCAGGTGCAAAGGAGAGAAGTCACAAGTGACTTTTAAGATTTTTGACCTGAGCAATTAAATGCACGAGATTGCCTTTAATCAAGATGGAAAGACTGCAGGTAAAATAGATTTAGTGAGGCAAAAATCAGGATTTCGAGTCTGGAGATATGAATTTTGAGACATCTATTAAAAATGTAAGTGGCTGGATCTCCCATCAGCGCACTCTGGCCTTTCTGGCTCCTTTCCCCTTCCTCAGACAAGTCAAGCTCTTTCCCACCTCCTGATGTCTGCATATGCCAGCCCCTCTGTCTGGAATCCCCGTCCTCCACATGGCACCCAGTCTGGCTCCCTCGATTCCTTGAGTTCTCTCGTATCACCACCTGAAAGATACTTTCTCTGACCTTCTAAAGCAGCAGCAGCCTCTGCCTCTCTCTCTTTACCTACCCCAGTTTGTCTTTTGTCACCCTCCTCCACCACACTGTATGCTCCATGAGGGCATCACCTGTTTTGTTCTTTCCTGCATCCCCTCTGCCTATACGGCACCTGACATATAATTGGTACTCAGCAAACATTTTGGAATGGATGACTTATTTGTCCAAGAGCCCAAGATAGTTACCCGATCTTTTATGTGATTTTTAAAAGGAGATCCTCACACTGGATGACATATAACCCATGGGAAGAGAGGGTTACCCATCTTGTAGATATAAAAGCTGTGCTGTATTATTTTGCAATCTGAGGGACACAGAGGACGGGGCATGTGGGAGAAGCCCAGTCATATAAATGGAAGGTCTTAGAAGTGGCTGGAGTTCAGGGCTTCCTATGCAGCCTACGTAGGCATACCTGTTAAGGACCTCACCTTGAAAGTCCCATCATCTCTGAGATGCATCATGATGCATGCTGGGGTCAGGGCAGGGGGATGGGTGGTAGGACCACTTATCAACTAACGAGAAGGCCAAAAAACCTCTCCCAGTTTCCCCGTGCCCTCCTTCACAATGCTGCTGTCATTTCCTAAAATGGACAGAGAACACATCCATCAGGTTACAGCGACTATGGGCACACACAAAAAAAGAAAACCCATTGTACTGTGAAATGCAGATCATGTCTCAGAAGGATGAGGAGAGCCAAATGGAAAATTAAATTAAGGTGTTTGAATTCACGGGCTGAATGTACTAAATCAAGGGCTGACGATTCCAGATCCTCAAACGTAGTGCGTCATTAGCGGCACCATTTAACATACTCACAATGATATTACTTCTTGGCTCCAGAACCAGAGTCACTTTCATTTCCCCTTCTTGGTGCAGGTGGCTGAGATAGAAGAGCCTCTCGCCCATCATTCTCTCCCAGGTCATCTTGCGGGTGGCGTACAGGCGGAAGCGGACAGCACAAGCAGCCACATCTCTGGGCTCCAGCTTGGCGAAGGTGACTTTCTCCTTGAAGACGGGGTTGGGCCCTCTCTGTATGTTCGTCCTGCCCCTCTGTTTCTTACTGGGCAGCAGCACGACATGCACTTGCCAGGAGTTGATGCCACTTCGGTCCTTATCTGGGAGGCCCTGTGCTCTTACGATGGTCACTGTGAGCTTCTGGCTGGCAGCTCTATATTCGAAGATGACATCCAGGCCACCACATTTTGAGATGGGCTCCGGGACCCCAGATGGCACTTGAAAATTGGTTGCATCCTGTTCCTGTTGCAGACAGAGGGAAAGATTAGGAATGGAGCAATGCCTAATACATCGTGGAAAGATGGTGCCCCTCTGTGCCTCTTCAGAACCTCATTCTTTTGGACTGTTACCATATATCCCTAAACATTAGAAAGGTCTGTTTCCTGGTCTCTCTCTCCACTGGACTGTGAATCCTTTGAGGGTACAGCACTGGGCACATGGTAAGCCTTCATGAATGCTTTTGGAATGAATGAACAAAGCTTTTATATTTTGCAAAGTGCTTTCCTCTACACTGCCTCTCAAAAAAACACAATTGACCACTATCATTGAAACCAACTGAGATACTAAGTCTAAAACTAGTCAATTATGCACCTGCCAAAAGGTAACTTCCTCAAGTGCCCAGGAGAAACGGTTCAGCCTGGGCCTGTGCTCTCTGAGCCAGGACCTCCTGCAGATAAGGATCCTAATGGGGGTCACAGACAGGTGATCCTTCAGTAGATTTTCAATCTACGTGGCAGAAAATGTTCAGGACAGAGCTTCTCAAACATCCGAGTGGACTTGAATCATCTGGGAATTCTGATTCAGTAGGACTGGGGTCAGGCCTGAGATTCTGCATTTCTCAGGCCACAAGGATGTCTCAGCTGGACTCAAATCACTCTTGGAATAGCAAGTGTTTAAACCCTGGAGACAGAACACCTGGGTTGAAATCATAACTCTACAATTGACTAGCTTTTTGGCCATGGCCAAACAGTCCAGTTGCTCTGTACTCCAGCTGAAAAATGAGCATCAAGGTACCTGCTTGATAGAGTGTTGTTGTGAGATTTTAATAGATGTGGGGAAATACCCGGCTCAGACCAGCCTCCATAGGTATCTATTCCCATCGCTGGACTGATACTACTTATTTTCAAACACGGCCCCTCATTATGAAATACACTTTTAGACAGCAGTTCACCTCAGCCAGTCAGATCCGATGACCTCCCTGAGAAAACTGAGCTGAACTACATTTACTTTACTATAATGAACCACCCTCTAACAAACTATTACTAATGTCAACATAATTTGATTTTTTTCCTCTGAAGGCATGCCTCTTACTCATAACTAAACTTTGGTTTGATTCTTATTGTAAATCAGAAGCAGTTCTTCTTTATGTAACCGAACACCAACTTTGCTAATTCAAAGAACTCTTTGTTTTTAAAAATATAATGATACACTTCAAAAATGCATGTTCATCAATGAAACTTTCCCATAGATCTAGGTGAAAAAGTGCATGGTTCTCTGGAATGAGACGTGCTTAGGAATCCCAGGTCCATCACTTACAACCTTTAGGACATTGGGCAAATTATTTAATCCTTCTCACTTTCTGTTTTCCTCAACAGCAAAAGGGGGATGATACCTACTTTATAAGGTTGCTGTGAAAATTAAAGGACTTGACACATAGTAGACATCTAATAATTGCCCTCTCTTTTAAGATTCACATTAATCTACCACGAAAATTTAGGCTTCTTGCAAAATAAGGGAAGCTTTTTACATCCTTTCCTCTGAGCATGCATTCATGTGCGAGTGTTTCTATTCAGAGGTACTTAGTTTCAAGTGATAAAAGTGGTTGCTATAGAGACTTCTGAATACAACTGACTAGTGTAGATATAATATTAGAAGCAAGTCTCCAAGGAGTTAGGCTAACTCAAAAACCAAGTCACAGTCTTCCGTTCAAACTCCCATCTATTTTAGCCTACCTTTGGTCATCTCCATATTGCTTGCTGGACCATAAGTAGTTACAGCTAACATCCACTAAGCCCTCCCTTATGCCAGGTACCACACTAAACCCTTTATGGACTGTAAAAGCCCACTCTTATGCACTTCAGAACTTCTTGGCCTCCCCTCCTGTTCCATTTTCCCCTACAGGCTGTCTGGGCTCTAAGTGGCTTCTCCCTGGCACAATGCAACAAAGTCTTGCCTCCCTCCCCTGCAAGGTAACTCTCAGCTCCCACCACAGGCCTCTCCTTTGATGTAAAGGCTTGGAAATTTACAGAATCCTGCTTGGCACTCATGTATATAAAGTCCAGAGTTGGGGGGTGGGGTGGTGGTGTTAATGCCCCATGCAGTAAATTTTTCTCCCCTTGGACAGATGTCCTGAGACTAGTTTATACAGCTTCTTAGGGTATGGTTTCACAAGAGCAAGCCATGAGTCACAATTAGTGGTAGCCAACTCCATTAGACATTCTCATACCGGCTCTACCTTCCCTGCCTCACTCTCCTCGTCCTTCACTCTTGTTGCCGGGAATTGCATGTCCTAACAAAGTAGGCTCTGCTTTTGGGAAATCCAGCTAAGAAACATCTTTTTTTTTTTTTTTTTTTTTTTGTGGTACGCGGGCTTCTCACTGTTGTGGCCTCTCCCGTTGCGGAGCACAGGCTCCGGACGCGCAGGCTCAGCGGCCATGGCTTACGGGCCCAGCCCCTCCGTGGCATGTGGGATCTTCCCGGACCAGGGCGTGAACCCGTGTCCCCTGCATCGGCAGGCGGACTCTCAACCACTGCGCCACCAGGGAAGCCCCAGAAACATCTTTTTAGACATTCATATTAACCTAATGAGGTAGGTATTTCAATATCTTCATTTTATGGGAGAGGAAACTAAGGCTTAGAATGGCTAAATAACTTAACTCCTTGCCCCCAGTATCATATGCCCAGCCAGAATTACCCAGGATTCACCAGTATTAATGCTCAAAGTCCCAAGCTTTACGGGGAACCATGATGTTTACCTTCTTCCCCCACAAACCTTTCACCCTAGCTATTTATAAGTATAGTAAGTGTGTGAGATGAAGAGGGGATAAGATGGACACATCTTATTGGAAGTTGGAAACTTCCAACTTACTGGAAGTTGGGAGCTGGAAACACACACTACTTTGAATTTCATATCCTTTTAGGCCCCTGCTCTTGATATTAACTAACAGTTCCTAGTTTTGTCATCAACTTCAATGCCAAGGTTAAAATATCCTAGTTAATAAGCATCTTCCCACTTATCTATCAGGCTCTCTGTTCAGATAAGTGCTCACTCCATCTGCAGGTTTGTGGTGAAGTCCTGGGGAAAGGGTCTTAAATAACTGTCCTACGAAACTTGAATCTGACGCCACTCCAGGCAATGGCCAGGCTCTGGATGGGGACAGTCCAAGCTGTGGTCCGTGAAAACTGGGCTTTGTGGCCCCTTCCTGGGCTGATCTGAGACCAAGATTTGTGAAGGCTGATATTTTTATAGCAATTAATTATTTCAACACACTCTACCTATCACCAGGCAACTAAAGGCGCTCCTCTTGTGGGTACTGTTAATACCACTAATCCATCTGACCTTCCTGCGAGGCAAAAATCTCTTCATTTTTATCCCCATTTGGCAGATTTTAATTAACTTCTCAAGGCCAATCAGTTAATCAGTGGAAAGCGGAGATGAAAAGTGGGACAGCTGCCTCTCTGTGCACTCAAAATCACCAGCCACCCTCCCATCGTCTTCCCTGCCAAGCCTTAGGTCTGCAGGAAAAAGTCGACAGCCGTTTCCGGCAGAGAAGAGCAGGGCTTGCAAACCCATCAGCCTAACAGGTAGTCACACTGCATGACCAGTTAGTTCCCTTCTGAGGCAAAATAAATGATTCCTTTAGCTCTCGTATCCTGGGTTTTTCTTTACGATGGGAATACTTGTGTCACATTGTCAAAACCCATGAAGATATAAAGATTTTCTATCAAACCGAAAGGCTTTCTGTTTTAGCAAGATAGTGTTAATGTCATCTGTGTGGCCCAAAGTAAACAGACCCACAGTGTGTTCCCGATGCCAGATACGCAGGGGAAGACAGGCTTCTTAATACAGCTAAGAGGCAAATAAATCAATTCTTAAAAGGCGAGCTAAGCCTGCAACGCAGGCATTTACGGGAACTGCCTCCGAGCTGCATCTGAGGTTCTACTGTAGGAGCACCAAATTACAGTTTTTGTCTCAAAATAGATAGGAGGTTGAATGGAGCACACAGAGATGTCTGGGTATTTTTGGAGTCTGAGAACATTTAGTGCCCTCAACACCAAATCTTCTACTAAAGCTCCATGAGGCAGGTAAATGGGAGGTTACCTGGAGAAAGCGATTCCAAGGCTAATGGTACAGTTATCAAGGGGAGAGACTGTCAATAGGCAGGTAAACAGTTCCGTTTTGTTGTTGTGGCGAGAGAGCCAAAAAGAATAGTATTTTTAAACATTAAATGTTAGTGTGTGGGATGTGATATGACTCTTGGCAGTAAACTGGTAGGGAAGCACAATTTTTTTTACAAAACGTATAAGGTTGATAGCTTTGAGGGTCTCTGTATGAAGGTTTGCTTTTAACCAGCCACAAGCCACCTATCTGTGTGGCCACTTCCGGTCCTCAGCAGTAACACAACACCCAGGCACACATGCACCTGTGCCATCTCCTTAGGCGCTCTCTACATGCCCCAGTGCCTTAGCAGTCAGGCTTTGAAACATAACTATCTGTGATTATTTTTCTTCTCCTTGATTTGGAGAAGCATTTGAGCATTTGGTGTTTATGACAGTCCAGGTCCTAATAAGAGATGCGTCCTGTTTCTTTTCTCAGTCAGACTTATACTAACAAAATCCATCCACCCTTCTCCTTCCTCTGTTCGCACAAATTAAAAGTTTCATAGAGTTACGTGACTTATTTCATCAAAATTAATTTCAAAGTAGGTACTAGACACCACTATTTAATATCTCTTAATGTCACAGAATCATAATCAGAGGGGTCTAGCTAATAAAGAATAACCATAAGTGCCTGTAAGGTAAAACAATGTTTGTAAATTCTTATCACGGTGCCTGACACATAGTAATTGCTCAAAAATGGTAGTTTCTATCATCGTCACCTCCAGTCATACTTCTGGGTGTTTAGGCATATTCGAGAGTAAGTTTCAATTGAAAAAGAAATTTAGACGACGTGTCTTTTATCAGAGATTTATCCAAAAAGCAAAGTCAATGGCCAGAGGATCATGATAGACTAATGCCATCGCCTAGATCTTCAATTCAGTTCGGAGCTAACAAATATGTTCATACTGTAAGATCTTCCTCATGATATCTTGTATAATCTCATTTGCAGGGGCATTGTATTTTAGTTTCATTTTCGAATAATTCTCACATGCAAAGAATCATAACTCAAGATTTGGTGTAAATAAAAATAAACTCCATTTAATTGAAACCACGAAGGAAATAATCCAGTCTCCCTAAAGAACTGAAAACCCGTTATATATATAAAAAAGAAGCCTGATGGCTGCTGGGTTCATTCTGCCACCATGCTTCTTTTTATTCTTCCATTTTGATAGATTCCACTTATATATGATTCTTTTATTGGCACACATAAGGGCTGGGCCTTGGTCATCTGAACAAAAAATATATTTCCATTAAAGGCTCTTAAGATGTTTGTTCTTCAAAGCAATGCTTCCTTCTTTTGGAGAAAGTTTTTCTTGAGGGATGGAGGAGGGGAGAAAGAAGCGGGGGGGGGGGAAGGAAAATGGGGAAGGGAGAGGGGAGGGTAAGGAGAACGACCAACCAGAGAGCACACAATACTCGAGCAAGAAAAAAATGGAAAACAAACAACTTGCCTCTGGACTCCACACGGAGGAGCTGTCAGTGGCATAGGAATCTTCAAATCTCCGGTTATTAAAAGCTGTCTCCATCTCCAAGCTGCCCTGTGTGGACTGCCGGCTGAGGCTGCGGACCACGCGGGTCTCTTGGGGAGATGTGCCATGGTGCCTGGTGTCCCCCACCTCACGAGGGGACTGTGAGTGGGCAGAGATGGGGTCATCTTCGCCATAAGACAGATTCTCAGAATAAGTCAGTTGGCTGGCTCCATCCAAACCTAAATTTACAAAAAGGAAACTCTTTCAAATATATTATCATGTTTCACCTTTTTATCTAGAGAAAATGAGCAGTAGCAACTACACCAGTCAAGTCTGCAAAAACAAACTCACTAAACAACACCTGCAGAAACATACTTTCATCTATATGGTAGATAAATTTGGTCCATAAAATCGAAACCCATTAGTTCATTATGTAGGGTACAAGAAGGTTTAATGCTTTATAATAATATGAGTATAAAGGATGAGTATTATGTGGATAAAATAAACACATTAGCATTTGGTTGGAGCTAATGACCACAGGACCTTCGGGATGAATCTAGAAAGCAAGAATGGTAATCAGCTATAGAGATCATATGTTTTCCTGGCTTTACCATTCTTCCGTCTCTCTTCCACGTTCGCCATATCACCCTCTGCTCAAAAGGCTTCAGTGGTTCTCTCAAGCAAAAAGTTCTCTACTTACTCCATGGAAAGAACACTGGACCTGGATTCATATGATCTGAGTTTAAATCCTAGCTCTGCATTAAGAACCTGAACAACATTTGAACTGCCTTAACCTTTGTTTTCTTATCTATAAAATGATGATAAAAGCCATCAGAGAGTCATTGTGGACACATGAAATAATATCTGCCTGGCAACCACCAGCCCTCCCATAAATTTTAGCCTTGCTGACCTGTCTGGCCTCAACCAACCCAGCAAATCCCATTTGCTATACTACCTCCCAACTCACAGACACCTGTGGTCTCACAGGTCCATGAAAATGTTAGCTGTGTATTTTGGTTCACAGCGGTCCTCAAGCCCTCCCTCCTGTCCTTTCCTCCTGTCCATCCAAAGCCCCAACAACTCCTGAATCTTCCCTGACTCCTTCAGGCTCAGTGTCTTTCTCAGGCTTCGTGTCATCCTATTCTCTTTCTCTTCATCCCCTTCCTCTTCCTCAGTGTCCAGGTTACCCTCAGATAATAAGGAAAAACTGACAGGGTCTCCCTAAGCAACAGCTTTCACCCTAACTTGCTTCCACATCCAGAAAGTAGACAACGATGTCGTATCTCTTGGGCCTCTACTCTTCTCCAGTGGGCCCCATCCCAGGATGATAGAAAATTAGAGATATAGACAGGATTAGTGAGGATGACAAAGTATATATGGTAAATTCAGCTCTTATTTACACACTGTATGATAGCAATTGCTCCCATAGTTGGTCTTAAAATCCGAGCTAAAACATAACGTCCTTGAAGGCGCTAAGCCACATCTGTATACTGCATAGTCTTTATCTACCACTGGGTTTTACTAAATCTCAAATAACTTTAAATGCTAGGCAGATAAAAAATATTTGAAACAGTCAGGTGTGCAGCAATATCGAGTGGTGGTGACAGTGGTTTAGCAGACAATATATGACCCACCTACAATAAACACCCAAATTTTAAAATACGTTATCACCCTATGCAGACCATATAAAAACATCTTTGGGAAGACTTGGTTTTCAGGGCACAACTTCAGACTCCTGATTTGGGATTTTGCCAAACCATGGCAAGCCATTGAGATGTTCCCCATCTGCCCTGTTATTCTTAATAACTCATTTCAGGCCTCTTGGAAGCTCTGTCATAGGGCACCTAACATCTTTACATTCACATTTTCCGTTATTTGGCAAACGCCCTTAAAAATGGCCACAGAAAATGACAGAACGAGGGGTATTCCATATGCAAAAACCCCATAACACAAAGCAGAATTTTCTCTCAGGCTCTAATTAGCCCATCCATTCCTCACACACACGAACACTAAAATGTCCTATTAAACAGTGGGTCATTCATCAACGTGTGTAGCACCCAGCAGGATCTCAGCACAAAATCTAACTTTGCCAAGAAATTACCCCCATAAAATTGTCTCATGACTTCAACTCCTACGGTGATAATACTTAGATCAGTAATAATGGAATTTTCAAAAGCTACATTAAAGCCTTGAAAAGCTATTCATAACTGAAAAACATAAGAACTATATTAATGTAACAAACCATTTTCCTTGACAGACAAGCAAGGAACGAATTAGAAAGGCAAATCTGGGGGACAAGTCAAGTTGCAAGGAGGGGTAAGGGGAAAGGTGATTCACTGTTACATAAAGCAGTCTTCCTGTGCTTTAAGTTAAAGAAGGTCATGTCACCTTAAACACATATGGAAAAGTAATTGCCTGTCGAGAAATGTATCCTGGCTTCTTAGAAATTACAGGGCATAAGTATGTCACATCAACCATATTTATTTTAGTAGAGGAACATTTTTAGTTCATATCCCATTTTGATGGAGTGTAAACCTATTATCCAATTACTTTCTTTCTACTCCCAGACCCCTCCCTCCATCACCCATATACCAATACTTTTGCTAACCATCTGTGATCGTCAGTTTTACGTGTCAACTTGGCTATAGGCCTCAATTATTCAATCAAACAGTAATTTAGGAGTTACTGTGAAGGCGTGTTGTAGGTGTAATTAAAGCCCTTAAGCAACTGACTTTCCGTAGAGGGGATTATACTACATAATCAGTCCATTGAAAGGCCTTAAGAGGAGAACTTAGGCATCCCTGGAGGAGAAGCAATTTCATCTATGGACTGAAGCTTCATCTCCTTCCTGAGAGTTTCAGCCTATCCTTCCCAGCAGCCTGTCCTGTGGATTTCAGAGCTGCGTATTCCAGTGGCCGACACAGCCCCTACAATCGCGTAAGTCACTTCTTTGCAATAAATCTCTTGAAATATAATATCTATCTATCTATCTATCTATCTATCTCACCCTGAAATCCCCTTCATATCTGATTGATACAATCTTGCTTGATACACCATCCTAAACAAAAGTGGGCACAGATTCTGGGGATGATTGACCTATTTTAAATGACACCAGGAAGGTAATGACTAGCTTCTATGAAACACCCTAAGAACTAAATATTTCACAAGCAAAAATAAGGCTTTGCTCAAAACAAACAAACAAAAAGCCCAATGAGTGGGCTATTATTCTGCAGCCCACCTTTCGTGCGTAAAGACCTCAGGCACAACTTCTGATTCAGATCACTTGGCTCAAACCCTCTTTGACATTATCAGGAATACAGGGACAATGAATGCACAATAACACTAAATCAGATATGTGGGACAGGAGAGAACTTGCCTGGAATATGAAGATTTTTTACGTGGGTTTGGACCTTGAATTTCACGGGTCCAACATTTTGAATGCATTTTTTAAGTGAAACAATTGTCTACAATTAAATTTGATCTTAGAAAATTGTGTTTAAGGTAGAGGGAAAAATAACTAAATAGATAAGAGAATAGGCACCAAAAAACAGATCCTCTCTGGGGTTCATGCTTAATCTTTTCCTTATTCTTTACTGCCGATGCAAATTCATTGATCTAAAGATGAACAAAAAAAAGGACACAGAAAAAAAAATCATGCAATAAAAATTCTATTAACATTTCCATGGCATTTGATAACCTAAAATTTAGCACACAGTTAATCATCCCTATGAAAATCCTGATGATTTTCTCCCGAATCTACAGGTAATTCATTGAATGTAGTGGACATTTTCCTCCATCCGATAGAGAAAAATTTAGCCTTTCTATCACCATCTGTCAAAAACTTCAGAACTGCACCAGTTATGACAAAAGTTGTTGCTAATTCCAGGAAGGGTGAGGGCTAGAGTGTTTGTGAGAACTCTCAGAACAGCAGCCATTTGTATAAATCAAAATCTAGACACTTGGGCTTCTGGGAAATGGGGCCATTAGCTTTAGAATTAAACAAGCTACTGTAGGGGATCAGCTGCTATTAACTTTCATTAGCTAACATTTGCCGTCTCAGTGGAGAGAGAGGAATGCTGTGATGTAACAGCAGAGAAAGAGAAAACAGGGGAGGGGGTGAGGAGATGACAGAGGGCCATTAGCTACTGCTACTGTGCTTTGGTTACATCGGGAGTTCATCTCCTGGCTTACCTGGGGCTAAAAAGGAGAGCAGTAAAATGTTACGTAGGCCCATGCCAATAAGTAAAATTACATGATGGTCAGCAAATTATTATATTCCTGCTGAAAAATAGGGTTCTTTTTATTAATTTTCCTCTTTTCCCCCTGCTCATCCACATCACCAAATCAGAAATTTCTCCTCTGTTACCTTCTCTCAATTCTGCACTCTCCTTTTTGTCTTTTTATTACTAAGTGTTGAAAAACAAGGAAGATCAACTATGCCCCCACTGGTTGGACGGACCACAGGTCCAGTGGAAAGAAGAAGATTAGAGAACCCAGGTCATTTAGACCAGGTCACTACAGTGGACAGTATGACATTTTCTCTGGCTTTTTACCAAATACACTTCACAGACCCTTCCCTGTTCCAACGTCCTGTGCCTATTCAGGGTTCTGGACATAAAGGAGTTGGAGAGATGCCTGACCTTCGCTGGGGAAAGCACTAAGAAATATCATACTGTTCTTTTCCTAGGTTCTTCTGTGTGCATGGTGGGGAGGCAGAAGGACCCTTGACAAGGCCCACCCGCAGTCACAGGCTGTGCTCACCCTACCTCTGAGTGTCCTCCTCTCCCTTTGTGAAAGGTAAACTTACGATGAAGATGGGGGCTGGCGTAAAACCTGCTCTGACCCGTGAATTCTCACACGGGCTGGGGTCCAGAAACTACAGGGAATGAGGGACGGTGTGCCAGGCATGTGTTGTTTGAAAAAGGTTATTTAATATTATTATAACACATATTTTTATTTGGAAGATAAAACACACCTACTGTTTTAATATTACAAACTATCGAAAGTAAGGCTTCAAAAATCTGAGGTTACATAGATATATGGAAAATAGACTCTACGTTTCCAAATGGGAGGAAAGGCACAGAAGTGCAATGTCAGCAGACAGCTATGTAAAATTTCTGTCCTCGTCAGAAGGCAACAAGATTTTACAAAGCTTGGTAAATACCGTTATAGTCGTTAGTGTTCAAACTGTACAAAGCAGTAACCTACAAGAAAGGAAGGGATCCCACAAGTGGGGGTCAAGACTTTGGCACGTCTGATCCTTTCTCTCTGCAACGAGGCTGCTTGTGAGGTTTGAAGCAGCCCTTTTGCCCTGTCCCAGCCTCTGGGTCCTGCCCTATTTTTCTTTCTCCTCTCTGGACTCTTAGATGCAAGTGCAGTGACTCAAAAACGTTCTTACCATTAGACATCCCGGGTCTAGATAAAGGAAAGGTTTGATGCAAAGAATACCTTTGCAGGCAGACACTTCTGTGCTGGCCTCTTCGTGGGTGGAAAGCCAGCGGCTGGGTTTTGGTTTATGCTCCAGTCCTGTCTGCTTTCCTTTCTCAGATGCTCCCGAGCGGAAACTCTGGGACCGGGGCACAGAAATCTCAAATTGTTTGATAACCTCCTCGTCGCTGTCAGAAGATGTGGGCAGCTTCTCATCAACTCCAAAGGTGTTAACTGGAAGCAAACAAGAGCAATGAGTCTCCTGCGGGGCCCATGAGAAAACAGAGATAGATAATCCAGAGAGATAGAAGAACATGGCCAATCAGTCTGGATCAAAGCAGACTGAACCTGGGTAGAAAGAATTCAAAGCACTTTTTTTTTTTTTTTTTTTTTTTTTTTTTGG